ATATGTGCTCAACAGGTGTCCAACCAAGAAGCTAAAGGAAATTGTTTCTTTAGAGAAGTGGACTGGAGATAGGAAAGTGTGAGTCATTTCAGGGTATTTTTTCTGTTTGTTACAAACATGTTTCAGATGCTAAGAGAAGGAAGTTGGATGATAGAAACAAAATTATGTTGCTTATAGGGTACCACAGTACAAGTGCTTATGAGCTCTACTGTCGTGTCTCTAACAAGGTTGAAGATAATAGATATATCATTGTGAAATAATCAGAAGTCTGGTATTGGAACAAGTCACAATCCAACTCTGGTGCGGTGTTAACGCATGAGTTAACTTCTAAAGGAATTTCTGAATCTAATGGAGACACAACCTCTGAAGATGAGTCAAAGTCTCAAGATGACTTTGAAGCAGAAGAAGACTCTGTAGGTGAGTCAAATTTTGAAGGCGAGTCTAACCTTAAAGGTGAATATTGATTCTGATCCAGATTCTGATGGTGATTCAGAATCTGGTGGAGATCCAAACTCTAGGAATATTCCTGATTCTAAAGCTGCGAGACCTCTTGTGATTGAGTTTGTTGAAATCCCTTAATGAAATAGACGACGCACAAAACATCGACTCAAATACAAGAAGGTGTGAGTTGTTGTGTCCTTGCTGTTATTTTCGATGAGCTTTGTCGGAACAGGTTTCGCTGTTGAATGAGGGTTTTGTGGTTATGGTTTTTTGCTCGTTTTTTCTGAAGAAGAAGAGGGGTTTGGCGATGAAAATGGCCGGTGGTATAGTACACGGCGGTGATACACACATATTTGCAGTGATGTTGATGTGGTTGAACAGATATAAAAGCTTCAGTTGTAGTTTATGCATCAGAAAATCGAAGGGGGTATTTGGATCGATACGATAATTTCAAATCATTATTTGGATCGAAGGTGGGACAGAGTGAAATCGGAAGGAGAGGTGGTGAGGGAAGTAGGGGAAAGAAGGGTTATGTATGGTAAACGGAAGGTTTGTTTGATTGAAGATGGAGAAGGCAATTGCGGTGAAAGAGAAGGCTTGCGTGGCGGCTGGGGGAGTTTTGTTTCGGAGAAGAAGAGAAAGGGTTTTGGACAGAGGGAGGAGAAAAAGGATGGTTGACGAAAGGTGAGAGGGGAGGCAGCGGCCAGGATGAGAAATGAAAGGGAAGAAGATACCGACGACTAGGGTTTTTTACTGTTAAGAGCTAAGAGTGAAGAGTGAGGACTTAGGGTTTGGCGACTGGAAATTGATCTAGCGTTTACTGAAAGAAGGAGATGAATAATGAAACCTTAAATCCCCTCTATATATTCCCAATTTCATCTGTACCCTTTCCTATTTTTTTTAAATATTTTTTCTCTTTTTTTTTCTTAAATTAATTTTCTGTTTTTTTTTTTTAATTTTCTTAACTTTCTCTTTTCACTTTTTTAAAAATAATATTAACTTTTCTAATTTCTAACTTTAAATTAATTAATTTCTAATTCTATTTCTAATTAATCTTAAAATTAATTAATTAATTAATATTAAAACTTATTATTATATTATATTAACACATTATTACTAATGTATTATTAACATATTATTAACAAATTCTTAGAATAAAAGTATAAAACAAAATCAATAATAAATAAATAAATAAGAGAATGCCACGTGTCATGTTTTTATTGGGTTAAGATGAAAAAAATTGAAAATTCACCATTTATTAAATAAATATGCTAAAAAAAATAAAACGCGAGCTTGAGAAATTCACATAATTATTCTAACATTTTGACGAAAACATAAAAATAAAATCAGGGAAAATAAGCAGAAACAGGCAACAGAGATGCTTAAAAGAATTAAATTAAATGCACACAAAAGTTAACGCAAAACGAATAACTTGAAAAGATATAACACTCGGTCAATTTTGAGAATCAACCGGGATCGGTGAAAAGGCTCGTACTGGTCAACAATGATTAAAGGTTAGTCGAGAGATAAGATGAGTGCGCTAAGTCAGGTTTTAAAGGAAAGTAGGTCAAGAACTAGCGTCTGCAAGCTTAAATTCGAAAACTTCTAATCGTTGATTTTTTCGAATATTTGAGGCACAATTTAGCCAGTCCGTCTGCATATCCAAGAAATGTATTTTGGCTAATCATTTTGTGAACTATTCAGGGTAAAATGTGTTTTATGCTATCTAAAATTTCGCACCACACCGCACACATACTTGTATTGATAACCTGGCATAATCCTTGATTCGAATCTGTAAGACTTGAGTTTAGATAACACTGAACAAAAGGTACAAATCTATATGCAAAAATGGCAGATGATATGAATAATGGATATGATGCACAAATGATGAAATGCTATGAAACGCACAGAAAGCGGTTTAGGGTCAAAATTTGGGTGTAACAGATAGAAACAAAATTATGTTGCTTATATGGTACCACAATACAAGTGCTTATGAGCACTACTGTCGTGTCTCTAACAAGGTTAAAGATAGTAGAGATATCATTGTGAAATAATCAGAAGTCTGGTATTGGAACAAGTTGCAATCCAACTCTGGTGCGGTGTTAACGCATGAGTTAACTTCTAAAGGTATTTCTCAATCTAATGGAGACTTAACCTCTGAAGATGAGTCAAAGTCTCAAGATGACTCTGAAGCAGAAGAAGACTCTGTAGGTGAGTCAAAGTTTGAAGGCGAGTCTAACTTTGAAGGTGAATATTGATTCTGATCCAGATTCTGATAGTGATTCAGAATCTGATGAAGATCCAAACTCTAGGAATATTCCTGATTCTAAAGGTGGTAATGCCTCTGAAGGTGGTACTTCAAGAGTTCCATCATCTGATACTGTTCCAGCGTCTGAACAAAATTATGTACATGTTTAGAGGCCACAGAGAATCAGAAATATTCCAAAATGATTTGTAGAGTTTGGCATATTGCAAGATATTGAGGTAGACTCTAAAGGGAAAGTCATTTGGTGTGCCATGTTAGTACACTCTAAACCAGTAATTATAGAAGAAACTCTCAAGAAGAAAGTGTGGCTAAAGGCCATGTAAGAAGAACTTGAGGCAATAGAAAGAAACAAGACTTGGAAGTTGACCAAGCTTCTAAAGAACAAGAGAGCCATCAATGTCAGATGGGTTTTCAAGGTGAAACTAAAGTCAGATGAATCAATTGGCAAATACAAAGCAAGGTTAGTCACAAGAGGTTTTCTATAGAAACCTGGGTTAGATTACATTGAGTTGTTTTCTTCTGTAGCGAGACATGAGACAATCAGACTAGTGATTGTGATAGCTGCTAACAGGAATTGGCCTCTGATGCATTTAGATGGGAAATTTTCCTTTCTGAATGGTTCATTTCAAAAAGAGGTATATGTGTCACAACCCTCTGGATTTATGAAAAAAATCAAGAAGGGATGGTGTACATGTTACATAAAACAATGCATTGACTAAAACAAGCACCTAAAGCTTGGAATCTAAGAATTGATTCATTTTTAAAGCTTCAAGAATTCAGAAAGTGTGAGATGGAGTATGGCGTTTATGTTCAGCATACTTCTGAAGGCAATATGACTATGGTGTGTCTCTATGTTGATGACATATTGCTAACATAAAGTTGTTCAGATGAGATAATGAAGTTCAAGAAGGTGCTTATGAATGAGTTTGAGATGACTGATTTAGGATATATGATATATTTTCTAGGGATGAAGATTATGTACTATGAGAAAGGTATAATTTTGCATCACCTGAAGTATGAACTTGATCTTTTAAAGAGATTTAAGTTGTTGAATTGTAAGGCTGCTGTCACACCTTCAGAAATAGATCACAAATTAGATTTTGATTATGAGGGTGATGATGTAGACACTACAACTTTCAAGCAGTTGGTTGGCTTTCTGGGGTATTTGTGCAATACCAGACCTGATATTTGCTATGTTGTTAGAATGGTTAATAGGTTCATAACTAAACCGAAGTGGTCTCATTACCAAGTTGTCGTCAAGATTCTGAGGTAGGTATATTAAGGGAACTCTAAAGATGGAGTTTTGTTCCCTTCTGGTGAAAAGGTTAATTCAGATCTGATGTGTTACTCAGACTCTGATTGTTGTGGAGACAGAGTTGACAGAAGAAGTACTTCTGGATATTTGTTTAAGTATCTGGGAGGTCCTATTTATTGGTATTCCAAGAAACAACCAGTTGTTGCTTTGACATCGTGTGAAGCTGAATACATTACAGATGTTATGGCTACATGTCAAGCTGTTTGCCTTCTAAATTTACTGCAGGATCTGAAGATCAAGGTAAACAAGCCTCTAAAATTGATGATTGATAACAAGTCTGCAATCAATCTTGCGAAGAACCCAGTGCTGCATGGGAGAAGTAAGTATATTAAGAGGAAGTTTCATTTTCTGAGAAGTCAGGTTTAGAATGGAGTACTAGAAGTTATGCACTGTAGCACCCAGAAGCAGCTAGCAGATGTTTTGACGAAAGCGATCAACACTGATCAATTTCTCCAATCGAGGGATGAAATTGGTGTTGTTAGTTTTGGTTAGCTGAAAATAAATTAAGGGGTGGTGTTAAAAGTACTCCCTCCGATCCTATTTATAAGAGACAAGTTATTTTTTAAAAATATAAAGTAAAAATGACATTTTTTTTAAATCTATAGCAAACCGTCTTAATGAGAAAACACATATGATTCTCCTAGTAAAAAGTGTTACTATCCTCTTGTAAAAAGGGTTACTATCCCCTCATAGCAAGTGTTTAAAGTTCAGGTATAAAGACTTTTCTAAAAACCAATATCTAAAAGGTAATTTAACATGATTCATTAATTGCAAACCATACATTTATTTGGTGAAACATGTATATAATATGGTGATCAGTGAAACATGTGCATAGTATGGCGATTGGTGAAACATGTAAATCTTTCTGTTCAAAATGTCAGTGTCATAATGTTTCTATAAATTATTGCTTAAAGCAATGCAACACAAAATCATACTCATAACAATACAAATTTCTTTATTTTTTCTTTCAATTACAAGATGGCTTATGTTAGGCTCTCTCTTTTGGCTGTCTTGTTGCTTGCCACATTTTGTATGTATTTTATTAATATTTCTCACCAATACGTACTATTAATATTCTAGAAATGACAAGTTAATCACAATCTATTTTCTATTATTATCTTCACATGAAGTCTTTATCGAATTAGTTAAAGTCTTATTTTATTTTTATATTTTTTTTAAACTCCATCACTAGTTTTATTGTTTATAATAATGGTATGTGAATTATTCCAACTCTAATTGTCTTTTCTATTTACAGCAATGTTTTCAATGAAGAACGTAGGAGCTACTGATTGTTCAGGTGCTTGTTCTCCATTTGACATGCAACCATGCCGCTCTACGGATTGTCGTTGCACCGCTTTTACCCTCTTTGCAGGTTTATGCACAAATCCATCATCTCCAAGTGTTATGAAGATGATTGAAGAACATCCTAACTTATGTCAATCTCATGCGGATTGCATAAAGAAGAAAAGTGGTCGTTTTTGTGCTCGCTATCCTAATCCTGATATCGAACATGGATGGTGTTTTGCATCTAACATTGAAGCACAAGACATATTCTTCAATATATCCTCTAATTCTGAAATTTCAAAAACTTACTTGAAGATACATTCTAGCACTTAATATTGTTCATACATGGTATGATACATCTAATAGTTGTAATAAAAACATCTTTTCCAACTCATCAGTTGGATTTACTAGATTTTCAACCAATCTATAATTAAATAGTCCATTCAGATGTTACTTTGTAAGCAATATAGTGATCATGCTTTTATATTGACTTAATATAATAAAAGTTTTTCATATATAATTTTATTTATTTTTGTTGAGTTCTTTGTTCTTAGCTAATCAATTAGACTTAGATTTTAAAAGCTTAAAACATAATTGAGTGAAGCCTCACCGTAAGATAGGTAATATCTTGGTATAAGGTGGTAAAAAAAACAATGTAATATTTTCAAACATCTTTATGCATTAAATACCTTATTTTTCTTCTAAAAATATTTATTAAGTAACTTTGTTATTTAAAATTATATAGAATGAAAGTTTTGTCATTACTTCAATATTATACATCTTTTTCATGTGAATTGGAGTAGTGTTAACATCACTTTCTCTAACTCAATTTTTAATCTTTTTTACAATTAGTTAAAATTCATATAAGTCCCACCAAATTATGTGGAATCTATACGATAGTGACGTGTAATTCAAAAGTTTTATTTATTTGACCGAAAAGGTTTTACCAATATAGAGAAAATATGAGTCTGTCCGAGGAATTGATGCAAATAAATATAATAATAATTATAATAAATAAAATTCAAAAAAGTTGGAGATATGTACATAATGGTACAAGATGTGATTCTAACAGAATTGTGAATTCTTATGATTTGGTTGTAGTCCAATACGCCCATCAAGATGAAGGTAATGTTTATGACCTTCGTCCTTCTCGCAAGTTCTTGAAATCGTGGTATTCATAATGGCTTTGTGAGAAGGTCGACAATTTAATTAATCCTTTGTTGACACACGACTAACTGAAAGTTTTCTAGTCTAAACTTGTTCTCAAACAAAAGGATAGTCCATTGACATTTGTTTAATTCTTGAATGTATAATTGGATTAGAACAAATATATGTGGATCCGACATTATCACATAAAAGTTTAGGTGGTTGAAATATTGTAATGTGCAATTCTAAGATAAGGCTGGTGAGCCATATGATTTCAGTGGTAATCGTAACTATCACACAATATTCTACTTCCGTGGATGAGCAAGCTGGACGGTGGTTAGAATAACTTAAAGGTTAACCATGAAGTTTATAACACACACTACTGTTGCACCCTAAAATTTGACCAACTGATTCTCCTATCTGACTCGTGGTTTAATTTCATATTCGCAAATCAGATGTATGATTTTTGTGCACAAGCAGGGGATATCAGAGTTTACAGCTTGATTTTTGTCTATCAGATATGGCAGACCCAGTCCAGATCACCAGGGTTTTATTTTCAGGAAATTGTGCGCTCCTCGGTGATTTTTAGCTTGCACAGTGATTTTGATGATATTCTGATGCCCGGGGATCTCTGTTCGATTCAATCTGGTCTCGTGCGCTCTTTTATGGCGGTCATTTGCATTCATCTACATTTTTAGGATTTTAATAGGCTTTTGTGAATTTTTAACAGGCTTTATAGATTTTTCTGGAATTTAAATAGGGTTTTTGAATATTTTAATAGCTTAATCCTCTTTTTAGAATTTTATAGAATATTTTAAATAGATTTTAATCATTTGTAGATTTTTTTAATAGAGTTTAAATAGCTTTTATCATTTTTAGAATATTAGTGAATTTTTTCTTAGCATATTAAATAGAATGATAAATTAGGATTAGTAGAGTTTTAATTGTTTTTAGATAATATAGAAAATAATATAGTTTTTTTTCTTATTAATAATAGATTTTAATAGCCATTAAGTAATGGTAGAAGTTTAATAGAGTTAGGATAATATAGAATTAATTAGACTCTTAATCACTTTTTTAGAGTTTAATTAGGTTAATTGATTTTTTTAGAATTAATTAGGATTAAGATAGTTGGTTAGGGTAATGAGCTAATTAGGGGCTAATTGGTATTAATTAGATATAATTAGGTTTAATTGTTTTTTTATTTTAATTCAGTTTTTTACAATTTTTTCATTCAGTTCGTATGGGCCCAGGTGGGGTTCTGTTTGAGGCCCATTCAATTTTTTTGTCCAAATAATTCAGCAAAAGATTGTCCAAAAATAGGTCCAATAATCCAGATCTTCCTAGCGTATTCCAGCAAGTGCCAGAAGATTCCAGAACTTCTCAGCGCCATAAATGCCAAGCCACGTGTTGGCTCAGAGGGGTCCCACGCGTTTCACGGTAATCACGCCACCACACTCAGAACGGCCCCACCTCATTTTCCACTATCTCTCCCTCTCTCTCCACGCCACCACACGTGGCACGCATGCACCAACTCCCTCCACCAACTGTGACACGCGTCCACCTCCCAGCACCCCTCACCTCCTCACCGGAAACTCCCCTGACCGGCATGCAAATCCGGTGAACCCCCACCGCCGGCAACCCAACCAACTCCGGCCACCACCTGAACCACCAGAAAACCCAGAATCATCCTATCTTCTTCGTTCTCCCCCTTCCTCCTCCGTCCACCTTCATCAACACTTCACCAGAGAACTCGACCACGTACGCCGGAATCTTCATCGGCGTTGAAGAATTTTCCAGACAGCATTCAAACATTCATCGTCCTGCCCAGATTTCTTCAGAAAGCGTTCAAATCTTCATCGTCCGTTCAAGATCTTCAACAATATCCAGAGACGCGCTCAGATTCACCAGGATCTTCATCAGCTTTCAAGAACCTTCGAGCAATCTCTAGCAACACCTTCAATTTTCCTCCGTTTCCAGATCGTGAGAGCTCAGTTCGTCTTCATCTTCGTCTTCTCCAAAGATCTTCGTCCTCCGAGAGCATTGTCACGCATAATTTCTCAGATAGCCTTCAAGATTTCCAGAATCTCGTCAAGTTCTTCAGCAAGCTTCTTGGATCTTCATCGGGAAATCTTCTCCGGTTGTGGATCTTCAGCGAACCATTAGCTTCCTCAACAAGCTTCAAGTATCGTTCGTCTTTCCAGGTTCCTAACCTCTTCCTTGCATGTGTGTGTTGTAGATGCAGTTCTTGAGATGTTTAGGTTAGGGTTTCTCGTTTTGGTGAGTTCTGTTAATTGCATGCGTGATAGTGATTAGGGTTTGTTTGTAGAGATTTGATTGAAATGTGTTTGAGGATTCTGAGACGAGTTGCAGAGAAGAGATAGGGTGGAGAGGAGGAAGATGACGAAGCGGCTAGGGTTTGGTAGATTGGTGAACAGTGTTAGGGTTTGGAGAGAGTGATCAGTTTTGTCTAACTGAGTGATTGGATTAGGGTTGGCGTATTGGGCTTAGGCCCAAACGTTTTACTGACGCTACACCCCGTTTGCTCAATTTCACCCCCCTGGCGTGTGAGATCTGAATGGTAGGATTTGGGCCTTAGGCCCTTATTGCTAGTAGCACCCCCCTCGTTTGAGCCCATTGAGGTATTAACTGGGAAAACTGCTAAGTCAGCACCCCCAGGCGTTTTTCTTTTTTTTTTTTTTTTTTTGTGTGTTTGATTATTTGTTTGTGATGAACCTGGGCCCTGCGCCCTATTGCTTCCAGCACCCCCACCAGCATAGGCCCAATGAATAATAACCTGAATCCATTGCTGTTTGAACCCCCACCCCCATTTTGTTTCTTTTATTTTTCTTTTATATTTTCATGATTGTAAATAATTCATAAAAAATGTAAATAATTGTTTTTTCTAATAATTCTTTTTTTCTACCATTTCATCATAATTCCTAGAAAATTAAATAAAAATAAAAATGACATTTTATTTTTGTTTGTTATTTTTTGTGTGTTTTCCAATTAATTGATTTCTTTTTAATATTTTCAATGCATGCATATCATTAGAAAATTCATAAAAAATGGTAGATTTAGTCAAATAATTCCGTTCTTTTTTCTGTAGACTCGTGATTCAGTGTAGAATTTTATAGTGCAGAACATTAGCTTAATCATGCATTTTCATTTTAATTGCATTTTTTTCACTGTTATTGATGTTGAATAATTGGTCTGTAGATATGTCTGTGTTGCTGATTTTAGTTCTTTCATCTGGTGTTGAATTTTGTTCTGATTTTTCAGTATGTTATCCTAGAGCCATGTAGGTCTCCCATTAGATTTTTGATAGATTTTTGTAGGGTGTCCTGATATGATTTGTCTGAGCCTGAAGATAGGAGAAGTCTTGATGACTTCTGACTGTGAAGTTCAACTGTGGTTGAACTTCAGAGATAGTCTCTTGAGGTTTGTTGGCCTGTGGCTTCTTCTTGAAGGTGGGAGCTGATGGAGGTCCTGCTGGAGATTGCAAGGAAGCATTGGATTGAGGCTTAGTCTAGGAGCTTGTTGTCTGTTTGTGAGGTTCGAGATCCTGAGGTTTGAAAGGAGTTTATGGTACTTTCCTGAGGTAGGCACTATGAATGACTTTCATTCTTTCTTCTCACCTCTTTCTTAAGTATCCAATAATGTCGGAGCCGACTTGTGAGTTTAATTTCTCCCGAGGAGGAATATAAACTGATCACCTGTTGTTGAGCCACATGGGATACGATTCCTAAGTGGAGGCCCCCTAGTACTTTCCTGAGGAAGGTCCTATGGGTCTATTCACTTAGTTCCATTAGTTTGTCTAGGATTTCTTAAGTATCCAGTGATGTTGGAGCCAACTTGTGAGTTTAATTTCTCCTGAGGAGGAATGTAAACTGATCACAGTTGTTGAGCCACGTAGGGTACAATTCCTAAGTGTCAGCCTCCTAGTACTTTCCTGAGGAAGGTCCTATGAGCCTGCTCACTTAGTTCCCTTAGTGCATATAGGTATTTCTCAAATATCCAGTGATGCCGGAGCCTTCATGTGAGTTTAATTTCTCCTGAGGAGGAATGTAAACTGATCACAGTTGTCGAGCCGCATAGGATATGACTCCTGAGTAGTAACCTCCTGGTACTTTCCTGAGGAAGGCACTATGAGCTTGTCTGCTTAGCTTCCTTTCTCTGGTAAGCTT